ACAAATGTTTCCAGTTACACTAAGAACCATAGAAGTAACTGAACACGACATGGTGAAAAAGTAAACTCAGGTAGCTCTTGGACAGCAGCATGAGCAAAAGGACTGCAAGACTGAGAATGACTCAGAAAGGGAAGGTCATTCTTTCAGTCTTAAGTCACAGGATGCTGGTAACACTACTTTAAACAGGACAGGTGCCAATTAGTTTCTCCTCTTTCACAAAAAAAAGTAATTGTATTTTTTAAATAAAACCCAAACCACTAAAAACTAGCAGCTTCTTCACACCCTGTCAGTCAGTGCTAGATTTATACCTGGAACAGAAGGTTTACACAGCATTTTTAGATTAGTCCAGCTGTGAATTTACTGACTCTCTCAAAATCTCCGAAAGAGCAAAGAATTGTTATATTCCCTAATATATTTATAGTACATATATGTCTCTTTTTTATGCTGCTCACTGTATCACATTCTCAAGAACCACCATTTGATGCTATACACCACTCCTTTGAACACTCTCTGTACAACTAAAATGCTTCAAACATTTATAAACTTCCTTACTTTATAGACTAGAAACTACAAGACAACAGAGAAGATAGTAACTGTCAGCAGCACAAACCAATTCCGGCTTTCCAGTGTAACATTTGAAGGCCTAATTTTTCAAAGCGCCTCACATTTTTTGATGTGCAGTGTACAAGTTCAGAACACAGCTCCTATGAATTTCAATGTCAGCCTGTGATGCTCAGATACCCTCCTGCTAGTCCATCTCCCAAATTCCATCTTCTAATCCTCTTCTCCCAGCCACTGAAGAAGGATCACCCATGTCTGAGTACTTTAGGATATCTGGATAACAGTTGCCCACAGACCATTATGAACAAAGCAAAGAAAATCCACTGTCAAACAACTGCAGTTCCAACCAGTTACTAACTGTGAGATCATTTTCCTCTCATTACTCCTTTTCAGAACACAACTTCTTGCAATAAATGACACAGGAAAACTGACTTCCTACACTATCTCCGCTCATGCCTAGAGGCCTGTCTTTGCCTGCAGAAGGAGTTAATGAAGGAGAGGAAACAAACACACCATTTATGCCTGCACAACTGAAAACTGTATCATAAAGCATTGCACACAAAGTGAATTAAGACTACAAAAAACGCAACCCTTATTTGGAATTTTTTTTACACTGCAATATTTAAAACATTCTCACAGTTTTCCAAATAAAAGCAACATAAAATTACAGGATATTAAAGAGCTATTCCTCCAACAGACCAGTATCAGGCTCAGTTTTATCAGCTCCAACGACTCTGAATTTTGAAATTCTTGAAAGCAAGGATGGCAAATTTTCTTCCTGACCCTGGAAGCCACAGAGCAGCAGTATCATGAGCTTGAGATAACCAAGCTGCGTGGAACAGTAGCTCTGGCAGAAATTCAGGTGTGACAGCTCATATGACACTGCTTTGCAGAGACTTAAAGATGACACAGTTGCATGTACACAGCTGGTCACAAAGCATGACAGGTTGAGACACCATATTTTTCATAATCTGTTTAAATGGTCTTTTTTACCTTCTTGTCATGTGTATTTCTCCCAACCGAGATAACTAACAAATACACAGAGTCAGAATTCAAAGTAAAATTATTAGCTGTTTAACTAAAATGAGCTGACATTAACAAAAACTTCAAACTCCTACAAAATCTACATAGCATATCTTTAGTTTCTCCATATTGCAAACAGGGAGCTTTGAGAAGAAAGTGGGAGGAAACAGAATAGTAAAACTGAAATGACTTCTTGAAAAGTTCCATTCTACTGGGCTACTGTTACGCTGTTTATTCATTGCCACAACACTGTGTATTCTGAATACAATTTCTGATATTTGAAGACAGAGAACAGTTTATTTTTTTGGAAGACAACCTGCAGAGCATCAGAATGCCGTGGAGCAAGCAAGCAAAAAATACTCAATGCAACAAACCACACAAAGTTCCCAACAAATTCAAGACTCCTTATTTGTTTCCTTCCTCAGAAGGGACTTGCATTACTTAAGATATCACCCACTTCAAATAAGCACTACAGCTTATTTTGTGTGCCATCAGAAAATGAATTCCCAGGAAATGAACACATTTGGGAAGTGTGTGAAAGCTCTACGCAGACAAAACTCCACAAAGATCCAGGCCAATCCCTGTCTGTGATTTTTCACTGCATTAGGAACCATTCAGCAAAATCCATTTGATTGATTAATTTAAGTCCCTGGTTAAAAAACTGGCAAGTCAAAAGCACTGTAACTACATTAAACATTCTTCCCTAAAGGGTTGAAATTGAATGATATATTCCTTGCTAAACGGCTAATAGTCAGACACTCTCTACACTGCCTGATCTGCTGTCAAAAGGTCTATTTTATTCAAAAGATTTATGGCAATGTATCTAGTAAAGCATAGCTCAGGTTACACAGAGAGAACAAGCTCAAAAAATACTACTGCACTCACGCATCTCTACAGGGCAAGATAGAAAAATTGTCATCTAGTTCTTCACGGAAAAATT